TTTAAATCACAGAGCTGAAAACCTACCAAGTAATATCAGCCCACATGTTGAAAGGTATTTTAAACCAATGAAGAATAGCAATAATATCACAGTCATTCATGTAAATTGAGAGAAATTATACTGAAATTAGTGAGAAAACTGAAAGCAGTGATGATATGCTAAAATTAAATCAATTTGTTTAGATTATGCCTCCCTCTCATATGAACAAACACATATTCTACTTTGCTGAGCAAAATTTTTACACTGCTTTTGGATTCCATTGGTCATGCAAGCTAAAGAGCATGGGGATAAAAACAGGTTGACAAAGTTTATTTGGCTTTCTGACAAAGTACTTCATTATTAGTTTCAGGGTAAAAAAGCAAATAGTCAATGTAGATTAATAAAATAGCTCAGAAAGCAAAGTGTAGGAATGCACAGGAAATCCTCAACATCCAGTTAATTCACAAGCTTGCACCAGATATCTCTTTAGGAAAAGACACAGGCTGAGAGATTCAGAGTCCAAGGAGTTTCAGTTACTAATGTATTTGAAATTTGAATTTCAAATTAGAGATGGACACTTAGATCTTTTAGACTTCCTGGAAAGCCCTACCCTTAGGATTCTTTATGAAGCACCCAAAAATCTCAGTGAAAATTTCAGTTGGATGCACAGCAGTGGACAAAGGGCAGCACATTATTAGTATGCAAAAGCAGTAAGAGAAAATGACAGCACAGTTTTAATGCATTTTGATAAACTAATGGTTCAGAGTGACTAGAACAGTGTGTTTCATTCTGGTCAATCACTCCCAAAAGGAAGAGAGTTCAGAGGTGGCTGCCAACAAAAGATTGCAAGCATAAATAATTTGTCAATATAAGGAGATGGTAAAAAAATGCAGAGTCTGTACTTTGACGGCTGCATTAGATAAATGAACTAAGATAACCCTTGCTCCTTTTCTCACAAGCTCACAAAACATATTTCAGAGAAACAAAAAGGCATTGAAATTAAAACTGACAAAGTTATATGCTCTGAACAATGCACAACTAATCTAGGAGTGTCATTGTCACTAAATGTTACTGCAGCTCTGTATAAAGCAAACAAAAAGAAAGCAACTACCAAAAAGGACACTTTAAACTATATTTTGAAATACAGTATTAAATTTCTTATATAAAATATCTACTATATAAGTGGATTTTACAAGAGCTCCAGGTGAAACAGAGATCAATTTGAGAAAACTGCATTTCTAGCTTCATAATACCTCAGAGATATGTCATACCGAAATATCTAGCAACTTACTAAAGATACTTTTTAAAGAAATTTCATATAAATGAAGTCTAGATAATTCTAAATGCATCTGGATGTGTTTTCTTATTTATTCTGTGGAAAGAGGGAGAGAGAAAAAAAAAAATCTCGATTTCTGACTTAATGACCATAGCTTCCACTCTTATCTCTCAAAGCCCAACTTTTGCTTTTCACTAATTTGGTAAAGACTAGGAAATATACAATCAGAGCATACAGTCTGACATTGATATTGGAAGTACAAGCAAATTTGGATCTACAGAAGACAAGGAAAACCAGAGCAGGATGCCAGATTAGAGTCTCATTCCAGAGGAGAAAAGGCCTGCAAAAATGAAAAAATGGAGCAAGCTAAGAGAGAAAATTAGGATCTCAGATGGTTCTGGTTTCATAGATGCCAGGGCACAAAGTTACATGATTAAATGATTAAACTTAAGAGGATGTGTGATAGCAATCACAGTTAATTTAATTTCAGATTGTGAGTCATGTATTCTAGACTCTGGCCATTCTCACTGATCTCTAAATTTTCTGTTGCTTCATATTCAATCAAGACACCAAATTCTAGGCCTCTTTACTCAGATCCCACCACACTAACACAGAGAACAGCAAGATTATGGTAGATGTAAATATTCCTTACATTCTTCTTGCTTTTTCTCTTGGAGATGGCATTAATTCTTCAACAGTCTCTAATCCATCAAATCACGTCTAATTATTCGGGGCAAAACTCTTATCTAACCAAAACCTCCACACCTGGGATTTGTACAGTTTAAAATTTCTCTGTTTTCTATTTATACTTGTTTCTATTAAATTGCAGCCTATTTTATGTAAACATTTTCTTGGAGATAGCAACAGCATTTTGACACTCAGTCTTGTTCTCCAGTATGCTTGAACCCTTCCTGTCTTTAAGTCACCCTTGTCTCCCCCATAACCCAAGTAATTAATAAAAGAAAGCACCTACTGAGCTTTTTATGCTTTAAAATTGTGCAGTCTGATGTAGCTTTTTGCCAATAAACACTGAACTCCTCAGAACAACTTTCATTCAAAATGTATTAAAAAGAAAGTACAGGAATTAAATACAAGGCAAGAGTTGATATGTGATTAAATGAAGAAAAAGAGATATGAATAAACAGTAAGAAAATTAAAATATAATTAGCCACGAAAGGAACATAATTTCATGTGACAAACAACAAACATCTAGAAATCCTCTCCCATTCATCTCAATGAAGATGTTAATTCAGATTAAGTAAAATTAAAACATACATAGAAGAGACAAAGCCAGCTCTCCATCTTTGAAGCTACAAGCAAATCAAAGCATGTTTGCATCTCAGCAGTGTTTTTAACTGAAACCTTTGCTGAGCTTCATCTCAGACAGCCTATACTTGATTGAACCAAGCAGTTACTTGTCTTGTGTCCCCTCGCTAGCAGTGGCCCATCAGGGGCACTTGAGGGACTGTGCAAACCCAAGGCAAACATGCAGTGATTTTTCCAAGCACTTTTCCTGAGATCCAGCAAGTCTGAGCTTCAGTGGCTCTCTAGAACAGAATTGTGAGCTTTGTAGTCTTCAATGGACAATCTCAGTAATTCTGTAAATCTCACTACTTTTTGAATCATTGTTAACACAGCTTGTGTGGAGGAGTTCCATGGTGTGACTGTGTGGAACTGAAAAAATGCTTCCTTTGGTTCAGCTCAAACCCACCACCTGCATGTTTCACCCAATGCCCAACGTCCTTGCAGTAAAGAGCCAGCACACAATCACTCATTATCTATTTACTCACCACTCATGAGTTAAGAAACTTGCCATAGCCTCCTTCAATTTTCTTCTTCCCAGACTGAAAGTTTGTAGTTCTACCTGTTCCTTGTTTAAAATATTTATTTAATCATCCTTTACTCATCCAAACCATTCTCTCTACCTATTCAAGATGCAGGTGCAGTGCTGTGACCCTGCTTATAAACATGATATTTTCTAATTTATTCTATTTCTTTCTAAAAATGTGTAGCATTACATTTACATTTTTTTTTTTTGCTGCTACTCTTTTCATAGCTCACAGTGAATACACTGGAAATAGGTAATCTCACAATGAAGTTCTTAAACAATAATTATCAGTTTGAAGTCCATTTCGTGCACAAATTTATAATTTTTCCCCTTTGAGAACCACTTTAAATTTATTTGTTGTGAATTTCACTTGTCACTTTATCACTCAGTATCACTGAGGTACTTCTTTGCAGTTTGTTTCTATTTCTCCTATTCTAAATAATTTACTATCAGCTGCAAATTTTCCTGTATAAATTTTCCTGTTCTAATGCATTTGAAATAATGCTGGTCTTATGTCTTTAACAAGTTGCTTTGAAAGCTCTTTTGCAATCTACACTATTGTGGTTTAATGTTTTGTTTTTGGGCTTTATGTTTCTATTGTTCTTGCATAATGGAGTAACAGGCCTGCCTTAATTTCTTACATACTGATTTGTTGGTGCCTTCTTGTAAGACGACTTAGTCAAAATATGATTTTTAGAACATACTAAATGAACCTTTAAGAGATATAGCAAAAGTAGCTGAAGAGGGCTATTTGATATATAATCAAAGGAACTAGAATAAGTCAATTGAAATTTCTGCCTTCTAGAGGATCTTAATTTCTTACTGAAGTCCAAGACTAAAACCAACCACACAGTTCAATATGCCAATACACTGCTTTGGAAGTGGCCTAGATGAAAGCATCAGTTCACTCGTTGAGATCTGCTGATGTTTTTGCAACAAACCTCCTCTACAATAAGCACATAAAACAAACCCCACCTGCCTGTGGGAATTATTTTTACTCAGTTTAAAAGTTTTGGAACAGTTCATAAGAATGTTTTAAATGTTAATAAACCAATGTTTTTACACCTGCGATTTTATTATTTGGTTAGGACTATGCAACCTCTCTGACACTGAGTAGTTATTTCTGGAAGATCAGTTGTCAGTATTTCAGATAAATTTAAGAACTGTATTTTTATTTTTCTGTCTATTCAAGACATGGCTGAACAGAGATATCAAATAAAGCTCTTAACTTCTTAAATTTAGGTACACATTACAATTCCTTGGGGTAAAAAGCACCATATTTCAGTCTAAAATGTTTGCTTACATTATTTTGTAATCAAAGAAAACTAGGCACTATATAATTTTTTTTTTCCAATGTCATGCTGCAATTTAATCATCTCCTTCATTTGGCAGATCTCCTACATAAAGTCCTGGGATATTTTGACTAGATTGTTTTATCTGGTACTTGAACTTCAGGAAGGGTAAATCTTAAGGCTCATGTAAACAGCTCCCTTTCAAAATTCATTGGAATTGCTCACACATTCTTAAATACTTGATTAACTGTGACAAATGAGCAAGGAGAACAAAAACAACAAACAAGAATAAAAGGCTCAAACTAGTGATTTTCTGTAAAAATTAGGTTCTGACACACAACATTTCAAGACTCCGTAGACATGGAAACATAGGGCAACTTTTTTTAGAAGTTTTCAGTAAATGTTAATGCATCCCTTCTAAATTAATATCAAAATGCTTCCCTACTAAATAAACAACCGTTAATATACAAGATTTCCAAATATAAGACTTCTACAAATACAGCCCATATTAACAAGGTACATATCACCTGATAACAACTACACCAAATATCTAAGAATAGAAGCATATATAATTAGTAAGTATTTCAAGATATGTGTGTTAAATATTTTTCAAGGCAAGAGAAAATATTTTATGCCACTGTTTTATTTGAAAGTGGATATTTGCACATATGCTTACATGTTCAGCACTTACTATTTTAATATGTCTACTCAGAATAACAAAATTACCCATGCATGTCCATCTGAGGTAAACAACAGCTTATGTTGCCTTCATGTTACCAGTTTTTAATCCTACTGATGAAAAATTTTAAGTACTATGGCAAATAAAGACAATGCTTTAGTCCCAGGCTGCAGAGACTTTCACTGACCTCTTAATTATTCCTGTACTAAATTGCTATTTCATTTTTAATGAGTGTTCTCTAAATGGTGTAGCTGTTTGTATTCTGAATCTGCAAATGTTGCAAAAATGTCTAAAAACGGGTCAGTTTCAAAACCCAAAAACTTTCAGTCTTTTATAATATTGTAATATTTAAAAAACATTCTCAAGAGCTGACGTTTAATAGTAGACATGTATTTTAATGACAGAAATATTAAATAACAGTATCAAATAATGTTGACTTTAAAAAATAAGAACTCTAATATTGAACCCAAAATAAAACCAATTAAATAAATTAAAACAAATTACTTCAATTGAACAACAAAGAACAAACACTGAGATGCATATGCACAAATACAAATTGTTTTTAAGTTTGAAAGATAACCATTAGTCAATGTTCAAGATTCAAGAAACCTCAAATCTGTTTTAATAGTGAAACTACTGCTTCACTTCCATAAGAGATTTAATTTCAGTTAACTCTAGCAAGTTTAGCTTGGTTTATAACAAAAAAGCCATATTGTGTTTCTTATAACATCTAAGCTATGTTAACTGTACCTACAACATGGACTGAAGATCACTACTGCAAAGCCATTTACATTCCAAAGTTTCCTAACTGAAGTTCCTTCTGCAGAACACCAAAACTGACACACTTAAATATTTAAAAGAAGTGCTATGTCATTAAGCTGTGTTTAAAGGGCTGCTGTAGGGCCAGCTAGTCTGGGCTCTGGGAGAACAGTCAAGTACTTGATTAGTCTGATGCAAATCTAATGTGCCATTTGACCAGACCACTTCAAGAGTAACACTTGTGTACTCTCCTCCTTACCCTTTTCTATCCAGTATACTCCTTCAACTCCAGTTTAATTAATACCTCCCTTGGGATTTCAGTTTTTGAGATTAGGAAGTTGATAACAAATTGCAGGTGTAGCTGCAGAGGCACGAACATTGTTATTGTCATCCACTGGTATCGCCAAGCATAGGGGGACTATGTATTTTAAGGTTATTTTAAAGATTCCTACTGATTTTAAAGATTCCTACACACTGGCATCTATAGTTTTGAAGAGTCCTGAAGGTAAATCTACCCTCATTGCATCACCAGGACAATTTCAGTCCTGTTGACAACAGACAGTGAGGGGCTACTAATGCACATTTTGAACTGCACAGAACAGTCTGAATTAGCATGTGATTTTTATCACCTGTAAGCAAAGGCTAACAATATGCTAAACATATCATCATTTAAATAAGAAAGGTTGCTTTAGCAAATTCCAAGTTTTCATCTGTGCTGCTTTGTTTTTGTTTTCCTTCCATTCAGTCTCAAGGTAGATCTCAAAATTAATAATCTGATAAAATTGCAAAAATTTCCATAATTAATTAGGGACTTTATTTTCTACTTGTCTGCATAAATCCCTGAACCTTAAGAAATATGAGTGGGATTAAATAGTAGAAATAAACTTTTCCAAGTGGGTAACTTCTATATACATATCTACAATGTGTCATAGCACAATGCCACAGAGTCACAGAACACTGAGGTGGAAGGGATCTCAAGAGGTCACTTAGTTTGCCAGTCAGCCCCAAGGCTTGATCAGTATACTGAAACCATTCTTGACAGATGTTTGCATAACCTGATCTTATAAAATTTCCAGTGATGAAAAACTCATCTCTTCCTTAGGCAATCTACAAAAATATTGTTAAAAATTGAAGCTACTATTCAAGAGTAGCAAAAGTCCTTACTGTCACTGGTCTGCAAGATTAATTCTTCCCAGTTTTAATCCACAATATGGCACTCCTGATTTCATGCAGATAGTGACTATGCACATATATCTCCATGACATACAACACGCACCTTGGATTCCAATTATACAAAAAGAGAAATTCTGCGTAACTGATGGCAAGTACTCTTAAATTAGTAAATTACAGAGAATTTCACAACTAATCAAGCAACAAATTCATTGAATTCTCCAATTCTCCAGTAGGGTATTTTAAATAAATTTATATTACTTCCATATTATTTTGAAACGGACACATATTTTCATTACATATATATAAATATATACACACATCCTCTCTGGGTAGATTGTGGATTAATACAAATTTCTAATGCAAAATATTCCCAGGTGTCTAGGTCTGTTGAAGCCAAAGGTTCTAATGATAAAGAAATTAGCACTTTCACAAATGAGGACTTTATGGTCAGGCCAAGCCAGATGGTTCTTGACACCTGTCTGCATCATGACTTGCACTGAAGGGTCAATATTACAGTTAATTCACAAGCAGGAGCTGGGAATCCCTGTTGGTTGCAATAAGGATGAAGAATTAATTCTTTCCTAACAACATAAAACTCAGCATGATTTTACTTGCAAAGGCAACAACTCTTTCCAGAAGTTAATACACATTAACTAAGGCTTCTTACTTTTTTCCTGCAAGATTGTTTTTTTTCTCCTTTATGAGAATAATTTTACTAGACAAATTAAAATTTTCATGGTGATAGAGTGCAAAAGATCTTGCAGTTAAGGGGAAAGGACAGCTTTCAGGCTTTAGTCCCAATATCTGGAAGAAAAGGAGTGACAGAAATAGATTAAAAACAATTTTGAAAAGTGGAAAAATGGACAATCTCTTTTTTGATTTTATAACCCCTAGAAGAAAAGTTTTGAATTTACGGAATTAAATATTGACAACATTGTACCAATAAGTGTGTGTGGACTCTTTCAAACAGCTGGAACATTATAGATTTTTGCAAGTTCACAAGCCTGTGCTCACATTTCCAGTAAAAGCTGCTGTCTAATACAAAGCTAAATGCCCCAGGGACATTGAAGTGAACATATTTTTCTGCTGGTTTAAGCACACCAGCAGTCATTTGTAGAGTTTACATGGCTTTCTTGTCAATACCTGCTGGTCACAGTTGGTGAAGAAGCAGTTTTACTCATGATCTGCTTGCTAATTAAGCAGGGCAGCAGCCATTCGGAGTGAAATTTTCAACAACCTGACACACAAAAGGAAAGAATCAGATGTATTCTCAGAAGACTTCAATCTTTAAAGCATTTGGATTCTGTAGTTACTGGAACTGAAAAGTAACAGAAACTACTTTGTCAGATTAATATGTAACTCTTCTGATAAACTATAACATACTGTATGTAGGATGAATGCTTTAACCCTAATGTTCTACAACAAAATTCTTTAAGAGAAAGAAAGTTAAAGGGATTTGAAGTAATCCCAATGTAGGCCAAAAATCTGTATAGTCTTCTGCTTCTTCTAATTTTCTTCAGTGGCTCATGATCTGTCCTTTTCTGCTGACATCGTCCATCACCTAGCTGCACTTCATGTCTGCTGTCCATTGCTGTACTTGCACGCAAAACATCCTAGAATATCTCAGCAAAGCCACTTCATTGCTCTGTTTCAAATTCTTTACTTCTTTGACCTTCAAAAGCCAGTTGCTTCTTTGCTGAATGATTATCATCCAACATCTTACTGCTGCCTTATATTACTCCTCCTTCTTTGTTTGTATCCATGTGTTGTCCCTTAGCTCATGCTTGTATTACAAACTCGGAGGCAGAATTCTTTGACATTTGTACAGCCCCACCCAGTGGTCCCAGGCTCGAATTCCAAGACATTTTGCAATACAGTAAATAAAATAACCCCTAAAATATTTGTTTCCTTGAGATCTCATTCTTGTGTTATGCCATTTGTGTGCAGGAAGGACAAATCTGGAGGGGCTGTCACCAAATTTTGTAATGCAATAGAAGACACCAGTAAAAGTGAACCTTTTCTGAGTGAAACCTTCAGATGGCAAAAACATTAGTGCAACTACCAGAGGTGACTGCAAGGCCTCTTCCCACAGAGTAAAAACCCACTCCACAAGGAACACTATCACATCCAAGCATATTTTAAAGCATTTACCAGCCATGCTCAAATTCTTAAAAAAAAATACAATAAATGCTTATTTATATCTAGTTTGCAATTGCAACTTTTCAGTTCTTGTCCACCTATGCTTTATATTTATCTTCTCTAAAAATGGACATTTGATGTACCTGAAAACAAATGTGCCTTTTGCAATTTTGTTGTGCTCCAAAAGGAGTGTTCCTGGTGAGGAACCAGTGCAGGCAGAGAAGCCCCCAGCCTGAAGCAGGCTGTTTTTGGGCAGTGACTGCGTTGGCCCTGTCACTGTGAGCAGGGATGTCCCTGTGCCTATTGCAGAGGAGCAGCAGCTTTCCTGCCTGGACACTGCAATGCTCTTCATGTCTACTCTGCTCAGCATAGGTTTTGTAATAAACTTCTGCAAGGAAAAATATCTGATGGTGTTACTGAAAACCTGCTTTTGAAGAAAATACTTTGAAAACAAGACAGGTTTTATTTTGAAGCCTTTTTATTGTATCAGAGACAAAGTAAAGATCCTCTGGTGACATAGGGGAAAAAAAGGCTTCAGAATATATATATATATATATGTACATATATATATAAAATATTCAATTTTAAAGACTGATATTCTTCCCCTGAACTTTGGCCATTTTCCTTTTAGTTTCTTAATAACAAATGAGGTTGAGCTATTAAACTCTCTAGAGATAATTCATAAAATATCTAAATAAAGAATCAAAATTGAGGCACAATGAAAAATACATTAGAAAAATAAACTACCAAAATTTTTAAGTAAAGTGGTCCAAAGAGTTAGAAAGCCTTTAAATTTCAATTTAATGATGTTGTACTGAAAAGTCATCCCCAGGTCCTGATAGTTTTCATGTTTTTCTTGGTTTTTTTTTTTTTTGGTTTTTTTTTTTTTTTGTGTTGTGGTTTGGTTTTTATCACTTCGCTGGTATCTATCCTTTGAAATGCAGTTTTTGACTGAGATTTTGGCTGCACCTATAATTAAATATTTTCTGCTGTAGAATACTTGCAAAGTGCTGCCAATAATCACTAATAATCAGAAAATGTCACAGCAGGAAGTGCTGTCAGTGCATGAGTAGCCTCACACATGAAATTCTGCATTGGAGAACAAAGAATAAAAAGTCTTTGAGCTTTTTTCAATATGAACTGCTACTTATTAAATATCAGGATTTTACTAAGCATGCTTTTAAGAAACACTTCAATGGAAAAAAGGTCACAAGAAAGCCACCAGTACCTTTTTTTCTTTCAGTTGAAGACTTTTGCGCAAATGTTACTCCCGTACAAAAATCCAATTCTATCTATGATGATGCAAGGATGACACAGTATTGTCTGTAAAGCTAGTTCTGCCCTGAGTAAGAACCTTCTGGCATCAAACTAGATCAAAAAGAACAGATGGTTGCAGAAACATAAGAAAAAGAATAGGAAGAAGAAACAGATATCAAAGCATCACCATCTCTTTCCTGAATTTTCCCTGAAATAAGTAGAAAGGAAGTTTTAAAAAGGTTGGATCATCTAACCCATGTAAGATTCTATCCAAAACCTAATATATCAAACACTTTAATCAAAAAGAAGAGCCAGATTCTCAACATGGACTTGGACACTGCTAAATGGTCACTAAAGGCATTCTCAAGAAATGAATATAGTTAAACGGAAAAAGTCATTACAGGTACTCATAAATCATCATATTCTTATTCATTAGCATAGAATTAATTAAACACAGGCTGGCTTTAGGTCTCACCTTGTTGTGTATCGACCCTGAGACATGGCATCCCTAGTATTTGATTAAATATGAACTTTTCTGGAGCATTAAGAAAACCCAAACCAACCCCCCCAAAAAACTCCAAACAAAACAAAATCCAAAAACAACTGCTAGGTAAAAAAAAAACCAAACCACAACTATTAATAATGAGCATAAAAACAGATGTATTTTTTAAAAATACAAAATACCTCCATTTTAGTTATTCAAGAGCTGTTTTTGTATAGCTGTCAGACAGCAGTGCCTCTGGGAACAGCTTGGGATCACACTTCCCTTCTACATGTTGGTTTGTTGAAAGCTGACATCTTCTGCTAGTGTAAGATACATTTTATAAACAAAACAGCCCTCTAAGAGTTAGAGCTACAATCACAGCAACACAGGAGATACACATGAAGTTGCCACATCTTCTCACAATGAGCTGCCAAGCCCACCAGCATCATCTTCAATGCATCCTACACAGGAATCTCTACATATGCAGGTTCTTTCCTGCAGTTTAGTAATGACTTCTTTCATATGCACACTCTGCTCATGAAGGTTATGCTTAGTTTCCTACAGTAAAACATTTTAATTAAGTTAAAAGAATATAAATTTCATTCTAGTCTTTGATGCTCTTAGAAACAATTATAAAGCAGCAAGAATTGCAGAAAACAACTGTTAGTATTATTTAAATTTAATCAGAGATCAAAGTTATGAGAGTAGGTAAAAGCATCAAAACTTTCTGGGAACAGCTGGAAAACCTCTACATCTGGCTCATTAAAAGTACAATACTCTATAACTCTAACAGTGTGCAATACGGATAACTCCAGTAAAAATAGCTATATCTTATAATCTATTCTGTGGCACATATTCAGGGGTTCAAAACAACAAACAAGAGTCACAGGTGTGAGTGAAGATGCTAATAATTAAATATATTGGCTCTTGTTGGTTTATAATAACAAGAGGCAATATTCTAAATTATTGTTGCTTTTAAAATTTATTCTAATCCATAATAACTACCTTTAAAGTCCACTTGTGCCACAGTAGTGTCTGTACAGTCACCATAGATGGGAGGAGACTAAGAAAAAGGAAACTTGTAGATTGGTATTGAAGAATGTGCAATTAGAGCACATTAGACCTGCTCTGAGACATTGCAAAATACTTCAGTCTGTAGTGAAACCAATGCATTCATCAAGTTCTATCAACTAGATTTTAATTTGGAAGACAAAGGTGCATATATAAATACAAATAAAAGATTACCATGTAGTGTCTAAAGGGTAGCCTTGCTTATTGAAACAATAAGCACTGCTCTTTAACACCACAGATATTACAACTTTTTAGCAGGAATGTTTTAACTCAAAATTAGCTATGTGCCTAAAGTTATAAATTGCCTTTCTCTAAGTACAATGTTATAAAACAGATCACTTAGTGAAGCAGCTGAGAAAATGGATGTGCTTGTGACAACTTTAACGTAGGTCCTTTTTCTGAAGAATAAAGAATAAACCCCAAAAACTCAGAATATCTAAAAATTTATATTTATCAGAAAAGGAAAAAGAGCCTAAGTACATTACATGTAGGCTGTTAAAAAGGTTCATTATAGGAAGCTTATATATTTATTTACTTGCAGAACTGGTAGGGATCACTGTCTGTCACAATTACAGCCACGACACTTCATTCCTGACAAGACTTTACCGTGTCTCTGTTAGCCCACAGCACGTCTGTGGAACTCATGGATATCAAGCTGATAAATCTCAATGTGTTGTGTCAGTTTTAAGCACCCCCAACTCCTCAAGCACATAAACCACAGCAGCTACCAGGTGCTCTGTAGTACTTCATATCTGTGCCCTACACTGTCCTTCCTGATTTTCAGTTTTAGAAATCCATTTTCAGTTTCATTGTGCTGGTACCAATAATCAAATGGCAAAAGGTGTTGCCTGAAGCTGTATCCAGTGTTCCAAAAAGAAACTCTGAGAAAAAGAGGGTTGAAGTAAAACTAACATATTAAAAATAATTTTTTATTATCTATTTGAAACAGAAGGCAACATGAAAAAATTTTACACAGTGTTAATAAAAATGAAGATATATCTGTAATATGAGTTGATATGTGTATGTTTCTTCAGTTTGCCGAAAACAAATTCTAAAATATAAAAAAATTATGACTCCAGGAGAGACTTTAAATTTGATATTTTTTAAAGTGACAGATGAGATAGAGTTAAAGCATTCTTTAGACCTAGTTGCAGGTATAACAATAATTAAGCCAGATTATAAGATACAGGGAAAACAGAACTAATGATATTTTTCTACTCATAGATTTTTATTGTCTTGTTGTTGCTTCTAAAAATATGTTTACAAAACAAAATTGAAAGAAAGATGTGAACAGCATTTCCACAGCAGTGACTTTGAGGTGGAGACAGTATCTTTTTCTTCTCTCTTTGAAAAAAAAAACTACTACAATAATCATATATCAACAAAAACATTTTAGAAATGTATTCATTCAAATTTGAGTTAAAGACATTTCCTTTAGAAATCTACCTCTATATCTATCTCTATAACCTCATTTGCAGTTAATTTTCTTGTAAATGCATCAAAATCAAGAAGCCTCAACAATCCTCATTTCAATTTACATTTAATGCCCCAAACAGCATAGCTTTAAAGCTTAGTAAGTGAAATGATCAGCAAAGAATTTCCTAGCAAAATTTATCAATACTGGAAAAACCTTACCTAATACAGTAACCATAGATTGATAATAAGAGAACAGAAATGGAAGTTCACTTTCAACTAAAAGAATGCTTTTAAAATCTGAAGGCAATCTTCCATTTCAGAGAATGATCATCACTTTCATGGTTGAAACAAAAAACTTGATAGTACCAGAAATGCTCCTGAGTATAACTTATTCAAAGATTGTTTATACCTTAAAGACAAACAAACAAGCCACCATTAGCAGGTCACTCCAGATACAGATTCTGATGTCCCTCTAAGTGTAAATCCCCAAAGGTAGACTCTTCTAACCATGAGTTTCATAGCTAAAATATGATATAGGCTATTGAAACATATAATGCCTCATTTTCAAAACTTCAGTAAAAATGAAGATTATTGGTATATAGAAATTTTATATAAGCAATTGTGGAGATAGTGTGAAGTTCATCCAGATATCACTGACATACACATACAGGCTGAGAGAACAGGCTGATATTTGGGGCTGTTCAGCTGGAACAAATTTTGGGGAGACACTATGCACCTTCCTGTACCTAAAGGGGCCTGCAAGAGAGCTGGAGAGAGGCTTTTTACAGTAATAGGACAAGGGGGAATGGCTTTAAACTGACAGAGGGTAGATTTCTATTGGACTTTTGGAAGAAATACCCCACTCTGATGGGGGTGAGGCACAGGAACAGGTTGCCCAGAGAAGCCGTGGATGCTCCATCCCTGGCAATGTTCAAGGCTGGATGGTGCTCTGAGCAGCCTGCTCCAGTGGAAGTTGTCCCTGCCCATGGCAGGGAGCAAAGTGCATTTCAACCCAACTCATTATATAATTACTGCTCTGGCAGGGGAAGCGTTTGGATAAGCACACTGAATTCTTCAGGTTTTATTAGCCAAGGAGAAAACCAGAACAGAGATATGATTCTTAATGGTACTAGTGAATTAACTGCCACTTCATAAGGATTACAGGTTTAGTTTTTGAAAGAAGATTTGTTTCTAGTTTTCAGTATTCTCAAAATGAAGTCCTCATAAAACCCTGCCATCCCATCTACTGGAGACATATTTTCTAATGTAAACATAGAAGCCTGACAATCTTTGCTTGAAAACTTCCATGACAGACATGAAATGATAGGAACATCTCAGTGTGTGGCTTTCTCTCTGTTGCTGATACATTTATATTGAATTACTGAGTTTTCCTAGGACTACTTCGCAGGTGGGGTCCTTCACTTTTCTTCACAGAGGAAAGCTGGTCGCAAGGAGTATTTTATAAACAGAGCTGTTCCTTATGACAAAATTGCTAATGACACACAACATATTTTTCTATATATTTTAATTAGACAATAATATGGAACAGGTGCAGAAAAAATTAAAATATTCACATAGATTATCTTTTTAGGCTTATTAGATGACAATAGCTAAGAACATCACTTTGGGTGGCACAGGGATCAATTTTCAATGAAACAATTTTCAGTCTTATACCCAGATATTCTATCTACTACTACAAAAAACAGCAACAGCTGATCTGTGAGATAAAAAAGAGATCATGTTTAAAAAACTCCAATCAAACACCAAAACAAGGAGCAGTCTACTGAAAATTACTTTCCTTTCCAAGTTATATGAGGGAGGAGTCAGGTAAAGATGGGGATAGAATGAACGTTCCCTTTCCCCTAAAGATGTAATTTAATTAAATGGTTGTTCTTTAGGTTTGCATGAAATGAGGATCCTTTGTGAAATCAATGCAGGTTGTGTTCCTGACTTTGGAGAGTCTAGAATCTTGATTTTAGCTTTATTAGGAGCCAAAAATTATAGGGCACAAAGAGAGATGTGTCTGTAATGATATGATGCAAACAGCTTTGCCTGACATCCTGAATTATGGAGCAGCATTACCTAAATATGGCCCTTGGAACCATCAGCTCCAAATGATTCTGGAGAGATACAAGAGATCATTGCATGAGACACAACTCCCCAGGTTTACTTGACCCAATAAACAAAGAATGCTGATATTTCAGAACACAATCTTATCTGCAAATAAAGGTTTTAAATACCATCTCTGAAATGTTTGGCAATCCGTCAATATACACTATTTTTCAATTTAGTTGATAGCCTGTAATTCTGAATATCTCCAGTTACAAGCCATAAATCTTAAAATGCCTCTACAAATTTTGAAGTTTTCCCTCTGGAAAATTTAATTTAGACTTACATTAAACAGTTATCTTAAACAACAAGTTTGTTCTGGTGTGTGCACCTAGCAGAAGAAATTTCTGTTAATGTTACTTGCTTTATAAAATGTGAGATAATGAAAATCAAAAGCTTTTTTTTCTGTTATACAATGAGTCAGAATACTTTGCCTTTTTTTTTCCTATTGGAACAATAGGAATTGATTGGAGACATAAACTATAACTTTTACTAAAATGCTTGACATTACAGAAGCAAATAGACCCAGTGTCTTCACAGATGGAATAAAAAAAATCAAGACATTTTATTCTTGTTTCAGCAGATATATGACTCTGAAAAAAGGCAATTAAGAATATAACATTAAAACCAATTATATTTAATATATTATTAATTATATAGTTATATTTAATATTTTATATAACGAAAATATTTTATCTGTTGTTCAGTTGGTTCTCTTTAACTTGCATCTCATTTTATCTTTCCATCATCATGTAAAACTTACTTCTACATGAGATTATTTTTATTATTTCCAGATAATAATAAATATACCAAACCCAAATCCAAACACTTCCATTCAAAACCTCCCTTACAGTAAAAAACCTTTACTTATGTTCAGTTTATGTCCATCACCTCTTGTTCTGCCACTGGGCACCACTGAGGAGGGATGGGGTTCCTCTTTGCACTCTCCAATTAGATATTTATAAACACTGATAAGGTCTTTCTGAGCCTTCTCTTTAAGCACCCATATCTTTGACAGAGAAGATAAGACACACAGGACAAATTGCCTCAAACAGCTTTTTTTATATCAGAACCACAAAAAAGGAAGCTAATCTTCTAAGTGAAGCAGAGTACTTTAATCTCTATAAAACTACTATTAATAACAAGAGAGCTTTCTTATGAGGAAGTAACCTGGCCTGACTTCAACACTTCTGGAGCAGAAGGCTGGACCAAGATACCTCCTGAGGTATCTTCTGAATTTATTGTACAAGACTATAATCTGTGACAGAAGTATTCACAATACATTTTAAAGGAACAGAATAAGGTCAAAGATAGCTCTACCACTGTTAAACAAACAAACAAAAATTCCAAACAGAACACCATCTATCTTCTAGAAATACACACAATATAACCACAAATAGCACACTGTATGAGAATAAGAAAATAAAGTTCTAAAAGTAGAGGTAGGTAAGAGAAAGAAGTGTTAAATGCTAATTCTGTAACAAGTTTTACACATACAGCAAGAGACAAAACAGTGCAGGAAATAACACTTTTTGGTAGACTTCATAATCTTGCACACAGCACATGCTGCAGATCACAGGTTCTCATGCTTTTAAGCATGCATGGATAAAATCGTGTATTGCCTACAACATAAAAAAAAAATCAGCATTCCATTCTGGAAGAATTAATCTCTTCCCAGTTTTAACATGACCAGGTTTGGTTTCAACAAATATAGTTCTTGTTACTCAACAGTTGTTTAACAAGTCAGGGGCAGAAAGTATGCTCAGACCTCTCCTCATCCAATACCCTGTCTGGCTTCTCAGACATTTCAGTGGAAGAGGTGCAAGTCTTTCAAAAGTGAGTTAGAGTGCACTGTGCAGATTTAATAGCTGCTTACCCAGCTAGAAGACTAAAGTGATCTAAAAAAAAAAAAAAAAAATTAGAAAACTGACATTCTCTACCAATCCCTTGGGCCAATTACACAGATCAGAGATGGAATGATTTCAAGCATGATGGACCCGTCTTTTCCATTCTTATCTCAATTATTTTATCAAAAGAGCTGGTTCTTGCTAAAGGTGAAATCAGCTCAACTACAGCTGATCTAGACAGCTACATAAAATTACAATGTTCTCCAGAAACAGATGATGGAACTTGGTGTCTGGTGCAATCTTGCTTATTTACAGAGGTAAATTTCTGCTTTTCTTAGCACAACAAATGACAAGCAAGCAAATTTTCTGTTCCTTACTATTTTCCTTCATCTACCATTCCATATAAAAGCTCTCACAAAGCAGTGTCTAAATTTGCCCTTCAAGCAGTCATTTACAGGTCATAAGCATTTTGCTTAATTTTTCACTTTTGTGCCATTTTCCTATTTCTTCTAAGGTTTATTTCAGCAAAACCCCTCAGCTGCATGTATTGCTATTTTACTGAGTGACATGCCTTTGTTGTGATGCTTCTTGAATGAAAGAGAGTGGCTAATTCCTATAGCATCATTGGTTTTCTCCAGGAATTGGCTATCACTGCTAGAGATTGTTAATTTCTAACCTGAGCGATCTCTTAACACTTGGCTGCAGATGGATTTCAGGCACCAATTATATGGATGATAAAACACTGGCTTTTCACAACAAGGCTCTACAGTTGAGCCCTTTCCACACACAGCTGTGGCCAACTGTTGGTTATTCACAGCAAAAAGCTCACCTTTTCCACTGACAGCCAATCTGAGCCTCATCTGTAAAGTCAAGCCCAGTAGATCAAAACAGACTAAGTTCTGGAGTTTTCTATACCAAATAAAGAATCAAAGAATGCCAAATGAAGGGCAAAGAAGGCTGTACTTAGAAATGCAGTGCAGTGTACAATCACTTTCTGATCTGTGAAAGGGATGAGCAGGAAAATGGATGGCACTGGTCTCTGCAGGCAAAGACAGTTCTCTTTTACACTGGTGTCATATGAAGAAATTGGATTACCACACAATAACAAGTCCAATAAGCACAGATTATGAGTGTGGGATAGAAAGTAATTTACCACTAGATTAATTCCAGGCATTCCTCTTACCTAGACTGCATTAAAACAGGGCATTTATCTTTCCACCCTATTGTTCAATGTGTTTCATATCCTTTGCTCTCCCCAAAAAGAACAGTACATGACTTTTTTTATTATATTCTATTTACTCTCCACTAGCCCCTCCAAAATAACAGTTTCACATGCATCAGATGAAATCTATTTGGCAAGAAGGTACAACAGTATTTTTAACTTGTCTGCATTTTCATTGGGAGATAACGTGGATCTATGACTTGAGCACATGAAGTAGCTACTCTCAGACAATCAGTGTACACCTTACTTTGCCAGCTAGGATCTGAGGTCACATCAATATAAGAAAACTCTGGAATACTAGGCCAAATAAGATCTAAAATATTGATCTATGTGTACAGATATTTCTTAAGGAAGATAATGGCGGTTCAGTATAATTTACTGAATAGAGAGAAGTGTTATATACTTATTGAATTAGTAAGATTTATATAAAAATTATTAGTTCAGTTTAACTTTGAAAGGATTATCTAGTTACCTTGGAGAAAATCCATTTATAGCTCCTCCCATTTCACTCAGCCTTCCTAAACTCGTGCTCTTGACATTAAATAGGAAGAAACTAATGTATAAAACTTCAAATAGGGAAAATGTTTTCCTTATTACCTTAACAATTAGATGGTAATAACTTTTCATTGCCATTCCACATTAAATAGGAATGTATTAAAACTAAGTAGGTATTTACTCAGAGGCAAAATTCAAATAAGTTAGATATTAAAAGGTCAAGATGAAATTATTTCATACTTGGATACTTATCTAACTAACTGGAAGGTAGAATTTCTGTTCTGAGGAATCCTGAAGCTCCAGTAGTACAATAAATTAGTTCACTTAGGAAGTAAAATTCCTTAGATCATTTGTAGAAGGGAAAAGAAGTTTTGCTGTAGCTCTTTGTTTAAAAAAAAAAAAAAAAAAAAAAAAGATTAATTTAAGTGAACCAAACTCCACTACTTATACAGATTTCCTGCTGCCAGCCTGGTAAGCTCTGTCCTACAAGTCAGGTTCCTGAAACCTGTAGTTCTCTTAAAAGTTAGTTAGGAATAGGAAGAGAATAATTCTATTAAACACAATCAACATTTTCTCAGGTAATATATACTGAAATAGTGTGTGAACAGGTGCATTCCCTCCAAAAATTTCTCACCAACCCCATGCTGACACCTAAAATTCCTTCATGCCTTACATAAGTACATTTTAAAGTGCTAAGCACAAATTGATCTCAATTACACAATACATTTAAACCATTGGACATGAGGCACATTCTCATACTGAAAATGTCTCATTCAATAGCTACAAACCCAAAACTTAATTCTGAATCTTACCCAAAGCTTCCTGTGTAACAACTCATAGTATATGCTCGGTTGCTCCATCTGTTTAAGAAAATAAGATTATAACAAGATTGAAAAAATAAATTTAATCTTACTATCCAGAACAAAAAAAATCAGCAAAAGAAAAATTTTAAAGTAACTATTAATATTAATAGCTATGCACAAATAACACATTTCCTGGGACCAGGATCAACAGCACATGGCTGAACAGACAGAGAATGTGTCAAAATAGTAATGCACATATAATACACCATATGCAGAGACAACTGATATATTTTGACTCATAATTTTTAAAAATTACTACATAATTTTAGCATTGTTGTTTTTCTTAACTTTTTCACAAGGAATTATTCATAGATAAATGCAAAATCATCTTAACTGAAACAATACTTGCAATTTAAGACCTATAAAATTATTTCTTTCCATATATATATATAAAAATATATAATTATTTTCATTTTATAAATAAGAATACCCTAGGAAAAAGTAAAGTAACAACAGAGTAGTCCATATTTTTTATTTATAGTATAAAGCAATATGATCAGCTTGTACAGAAATAAACATGTTAAAATATGTATGGTATTAGTCCACAACTGGCTGAACAGTTAATTGCCTTTATCAGTATATATGATATTATCTGATTTTTTTTTTTAATGGCAATTTTACACACTGAATATTAGAGTTTTTACAGAAACAAAACAAAATGCTTCAACAGTATTTCCTTCTAGTGCAAGCTAGCACAAATTTAAATATCTCCCAGCAGGCAACAGAGAGCCCTGTTCGATGTTCGTGTATTTCCTATTGGCTTCCATTTGATTAAAGGAAACTGCTTCCCTATAGAAGCAAAGTAGAACAATTCCTTGGAGTATTACAGCACCACATTTTGTGCCTGTGACCACACAAGGATTCAAAAGAAGACTGATACAGTGATCTTTTCAGAATAGCAGATTTTCTAACTTTGAGTAATGACTATTTAGTGAAGATTTACATTATTTCCATTTTCTAAAGCTCCATGCATAATTATGGTAACAGTTCTCTTTTCAAGATAAATTTAGCTTCAAAACTTTGGTTTTCTATCACTGGCACTATTTATAGTCTCAGGATAAAGGAGATAAAGTTGCAAGCATAAAAAGCTAGCCATTAACCATTTAAATAACTGTCCTAAACTTCCATAATTTTACAAGTGTTCAGCTCTCTAACCTGCTAAAGAGGCCTAAGCTCTCAGGAGTGTTTGCAGTGTACAGGCATGACTCCTCCTTTAGGACCCAGAAACTTAGAGCTAAGATAAGAATGCAGCAGAATATGAAAATAATGAGCCTTTTGTTCTTCATTCTCCAGTGCACATATCAGATTTTGAATTTAGAAAACCCTAAAAGCACAACCAAGTCTATGCATAGTAAGGCTATTTCTATAGGACAGGAGGGAAAATACCATAGCCAGGAAATCAGTGATACAAAGGTTGCCAAAATTACTGGAAGACTTCACATTGTATAGTAGAGAACAAAATCACACCCATACAACAAAATTCTGTAAATTAAGTGGATTTACAGAGCCCAACAAAACGCCATCGAAGTAAATGGAACTACTTATTTACAGAATAAACTAAAGGTAGCATATGGTGCAAAGGAAACAGGATCATAATTTGTGAGACTGAAATAGCCTAATGTTTGGGGATTAGGTCTAAAAGATTTCTGACTGTGACAATCTAGAAAAAGAAACCCCTTAAATGTTTATTTTCATATTGCATCTCAAGACTCTAGCATTAGAAAGTGTCAGAGTTGACAAATGCAAATTATATTCCATCTTAAATTTGACAGTATGTATCTTTATAAATGGTGCAATGGGAAACACAGTGCTGTGAGGATCAATGCGAGCCAAGTCTGGAAGATGCTCAAGAATCTGGCTGTTGTAAGACATGAACTTCTCTCATCCTGAAAATTATCTACATGTCCTTCATATGTGACAAGGTCATCAAATGAAATATTTCATTATAATATCTGTGTAAGGCTTATTTTAAAGAATTAGTGTATCTAGAAATGATCAAAACCAAATTCTGATCTTCCAGTAAAAATTTAATTTTTTAAAATTTTGTGTTATAAACTATTGTTTACAAGGGTTGTCTGCCTTTATTTAATAAGGTCTGCTTACTGTATGAAACGCAGCGAGCAGCTTAGCTGAGTAATATGGTATTTTTGTGGCTATGATTTTAACTAGTTAAGTCATGGAAATAGATGACAGCTACTTTATTTTTAATCTTACTGTTGGAGAAAAGCTGTAAACTTTTTCCTTCCAGAAATAATCCACAAACTGATTGCTGTCAACTGCTTGCTGGAGGGAAAGTCTGTCAACCAAGGAGGGTGGAGACAGGAGAGACAAGCTCCCTCTTTCCATGTGTAAATACCTTTCCACAAAAAACAGAAGCTGAATCTTATAGAATCTTTGTAAATTAAGGACTGTGTGAACCTTTAAAAAATGTTCTTTATATATTCCAACACTTTTATTCAGGAAAAACTGTGTCTGACTAGACTTTGTAATCAAAAAGATACGATGTTATTCAAGTGTTCTGAATGAAAGCCTGTATATTTTTTCCTTAAAAATGAAAGCATATCTTGTAAGAGCTGATTCCAGATTCTGAGGGATATAGTCTGCCCTTTATAAACTTCAAACACATTTATACCAAAATTCAAACTCTTAGCAGATTTCTAGGTCTAAAATATATTGGTCCTATGCCATTAATTTGCAGAACACCTACCTGCCTTCAGAGGGTGTAATGAAGATCATTCGTATCTACAAGGAGTTTTTTACCTTATAAAAAAATATATAAATGCTAAATTATAACAAGGACAGAAGTAGCCCAGTTTATGTCCATCCAGAAGGTAAAATTATTTGCTTGTATTTGAATTACCTTATTAATTCATGTCTAAAACCCAGTTTCTCTACTAACTGATACTTTGTCATTTATCAAAATAATCTATATCCCTATCTTGCTTCAATTTTTTTTCAGCTCTCCACTGTAAGATCCCATTGTAAATAAATACAACCTTAGAACACATTTTTCTGTAGCCAGTTTTTGAAAAAAAAAGTCTACTGTTTGCAGTTTACAAAAAGTCGAACACCTCTTTTACCTCTCTGAATAGTTTTCTTTACTTGCAGAAACTCACATGACACAAAATGGTTGGTTAGCAATCTGGAAAATTGTATTAGAAAAAAATATTAAATAATTTCCTCCATTGTTCTGCAGGTAATGTGCAACATTTTAGTTAATAACTACATTTGCACCTTTTATAATCTAAGTTGAAAAGGATTTGCTCTGCCATTCCAAGTTAAACAGATGTACAGTGTTAACAGGAAATTATAGACAACAACAAAAAGAAAAAAAAACTAAAGCAAGTAGTTTTCTGAAATTCAGATGATGAGCATATATGCATTTATATTGATTTTGGAAATAAAAGTAAAGGCTAAAGCTGCATACTTGCACAGGTGCCCATTCGTAATTTTTCAATTCTCACCTGTTCACTGCAGCTTAGGTGCCAAGAACCATTTCTCTCCAAATTCTGGAGGCCTTAGCACCACACAGAGAAGTAAAAGTCTTCCATTTTTCTGATGGAGTAACTACAGAATTTGAATTCAGAATCAAACTGCAAAGCCTAGATTTCTTCTCAAAATCGGTGTCAAGGTACTAAGTTTTAAGTACAATTAGATCATCATTGTCCCTAGGACACTATATCCTCATTTCAAGGCAGAGAAAAAAGAGAATCATCATTTTTAGTATTGTAAGTGCTATCTTTGCAGTATTCTGTAAATTGAAAGCTTTTTGATTAAAAAGTTCCTTTTCATCAGTCTTCTATACACACACACACAAACAAAATATATCTTTTTTAGCTAAAAGCAAAAGTATCAGTCACTTGCTAAAGAAACCGAAAACTTCTCTTCAAGCAATATTGAATAAACTTTCCTGCAGCAAAACAGCTTGATCCTAAATTTAAATAATTTTAGCTTAAACACAGAGCACTGAGTCTCACCCTAAAAATCTTAAGTATTGCTTGCAATGAGGGTCTTTTCTCACTGCTGCTGGCAAAGCAGGTGAGTGTGAATAGCAAGAGAAAATATGGAATACAGAAAAAATTTTTCTCAAAATTTTTTTTTCTATTTGAAGGAAGCATAAAAAAAGCCCTTGCATTTTTTAACAAAAGGCACACACTTTCTTCACCTGAATGAAAGGCCATTTGGCTTCAAAAACACCAGCTATAGAGCAATTAATTCACCTGTATTATGCAATCAATTTCAACATTACCTATTTCAAACTCCCTGTAACTATAACAAGCCCAGAGGTTCATTTGACCTATAAAAATGAGTTGGGAAAATAAATTTATTGAAAAAAAAAAAAGCAAAAAGCAGTGCCTGTATGACATGTAAAATAGTATCCTCCCTGTGTCAAACATATGGTATGAGTAATTCACAGTCATACAGGGAACTCACTTGGTGCACATGTGTACACACATGTGCCAGTGCTATTACCAGAGCAAGGAAAGATGGTGAACAGATATTTTTATCTGTTAATTTTCCTGGTCACACAGCAGTAGTAAAAATATTACTGATGCTACTAACTATTATTGCTAACAATTACATTATTATTAATGAAGCATGAAAGTGAGGTGAAATGGAAAGCAGTGGAATTGCTGGGCTCAGAGGATTGTGATCAGTACCACAACATTCAGCTGGAAACATTAATAATTGTGCACCCCTGTTGATAATGGGGCCATTTCCCTTAAAGACCAGAATAATGGGAGTGAGGGCACCCTCAGCAAGTTGGAGAGTGTGTGAAATAAGGAGCATTAAGTGGGACCTCAGCAGGCAAGAGAAATAAAGTTCAATAAAAGAAATGCATGTTCTTTACCCAAAGAGAAATAACTGTGTGGACTGGTAAAAGTCTTAGGACTAACCAGGGGGAAAGAACTGGGCATTAAAGGATGGGGAAGGTCCTGGTGGGCAAAACATTGAACATGAGTCAGCAAAGTACCCACGTAGCAATCAAAGTCAACACTTTCTGTGTTAGGAAAAACAGTGCCAGCAGGCTGAGAGAGATGATCCTTCCCCTCAGCACCAGTGAGGTCACATCTGGAATATTGCCTCCTGTTCTGGGCTCCCCAGTACAAGAACAGACATGGACATGCGTACATCCAGTATACACGTCCAGAACACAGAGAAGATGTAGATCTTGGAGCACCTATCATTTGAAGAAAGGCAGGGAGGGAGAAGGCTCAGGAGGGATCTTAATCAGTATTTATAAATTCTTGGTGGGAGGGAGAAGCCAATCCTTTTTAAAGCAAATATTATGAGAAAGGACATTCAAAATTCACTCTCTCCAGATTTTATTAAGGAATTTGATATGGTATCACCCAGCAATTATTGAATTGGAAATACAAGCATAACACAAAAATAAAGTTGATATAAAGGTGACTAAATTGAATAGACTTCTTTAAAATCGTTCTTCACACTCATCTCACTACATGTCTGTAAACATGGTGAAAAGCAGAGGTGTTTTGATAAAAACTGGTTACAGGAAGCCCTGTTGATACAGGGGAGGTTCTTGCTAACTTACAGAGGAAATTGGAGGAGCATTTGCACAGGATTAGAAATGGGAAAACCTTTAGTTACTCTTCAAAGCCACATGATTATGAATAGCAGAATTTCTGTGATTATTTCTGTGATGGTCTCTTATCATTTGAGAACAACACAAAAAGATAAATCACACACCCATGTTTACTCTTAACAGATTAACCCAACCTGGACTATCTGTAAAACAAACTTGATATTCACCAGTGTCTGACAAAGTATTTTCAAAAGATCGAGTGGAGTATTAGCAATCTTATTCAGGACTTCGAGCAAACACTTCAGGTACAAGGTTCAGAATTCAGGAGAATCAAGTTACTAGCCTCCGTATCTTCCTATTTATTCCGTTTTGCCACATAGACTAAAAGGTGCTTGCTCTGCTTGTTTGATCCTAGCACATAAAAGCTGAGAAAGACACAAGATCAATGTTTATAATTTATTGAGGGCTACACACTAAGGAAGGAGTTTGTTTTAAATAACAATATAGAGAGATGAAAAATTAGGAATCAAAGAATATATTTAGGCTGAAAGTTCAAAGAAAGCTTTAAGCATTAGGAGAGAGGTTTTGAAATATCTTTCCAGAAAGAGTAACAGGGCAATGTACTTAAAGGTAGACTGTGATGACTTTATAACTGAAGTTAGATAAGATTGTTATTTAACTCAGAAAGGTCTTTTCTTTAGCCCTGAATTACTACAGTGATCAACTACTCCCTGTTCTGCTCCCCTGCTTCCCAGACTTCTTGCTCACACTATTCCCACTAAAGTTCAACTAGGGCTGTGAGAAGACTTCATGCAATTTTTATCCTTAAGATAAAACAATCTTAAGACTTAAACTCCTACCCCTCTAGCTTAAATGGTTGTACAGAATATTGCATCAAAGCAGATGACTAGAGGATCTCCTTGAGATCAGAAGACTTAATCAGCAGCTAAACAGAGCAGTGCACTGCAAACATACAGAAATGATATTGCCTCTTTGGGTCTTCATTAAATATTTGCCCTCCTAGCCAGTTTAATGGATTCCTGCTTACTATATCAGCAGTCAAAGAGGGAATTTGATTGTACTCAAAGCAAATGCACCTCAAACACTGTCACTATTCAGAATCATGTAATTTAACCTGTCTGTTAAGACATCCATTATCCCCACCCTTTATAACATGGTAACATGTTAATCATTGAACAACCCATTCAGAAGTTTTCCATGGCAGTGGGTAAAGCAAGAACAGCTACAGAAAACAGAGAGGGCATATTCACACATCTATAGCTACTGGCCAGATGTCACATAATTATTTGTATAGCAGCAAGTGAGCATTGAGCAATGTTGCAGACAACCAACTCTTCTCCATTCAGCTCCTCTCAAAGATGTGTCCATCAATAAACGAGCAGCACTGTGCTTTCCTGACCCAAAAAGTGTGCTCAGCCTCTTGCAAATATTGAAAATGTAGGTGGGTCTCTCGTTCACCAACCCCACAATCCCTTGTATCAAACACAAGTCATTATTGTAAGGCAAATAGGATGAACACATTTCTTCACCTCCCTCTCGCTGACAAATTATTTTTTACATATTGTTTTAGAAATGAAGCAAATGTTTTTCTAATAAAAGTGAACCCAACACTTGACAGCCAAACAAAAATGTACACTGGACTGAAATTTACACAGTGACATATATTGTTCAAACCCCAAATTTGAACTCCCATATTTCATTTCTGACTTGCAAAGCCAAAACACTGGCCAGAAGAATACCAGTTATGCAGAAAGAAAGAATTTCTATTATAGTGGTATCTCAAAACAATAGAGATTCACTAATTAATACATTTTGACCACTTTGTAGATTGGTGCCCATGACCGCATTTCCAGTTAGAGAAAGAAGACTTGGAAAGGAAAACAAATTATTTTCTTATTCCAAGTCCAAAGATGAACACTTTTATTAACCGTCATTTGACCTCTACCATCAATTTGACAATCCAAATTCTCAGCAACTGAACCTCTTTTAATTGGTTGGTTATAGTCTAGACCAAGGCTTCCACCTTAAATGCCATAAAAATGCTGTGTATGTGAGTATGATTTCATTTAACAATGACCTGCAGGCCTGGATTTGACAGAAATTCTTGATTTCCAATTGTTTTCCCCACCTGACTAGTCTCCTTTTAGATTTTTTGTGTTTTTAGTTCTAGCTTGTGCTTATTTTTGTCTCCCTTATTTTGTTGCTGTAGAACAGTGATATGAAAACTACTGCATCCAGGCTTGCTTTCAAAGTAAGCATATTGAGTGGTTAGCCTGGTTCATATGTTCCTGCTTACCTCACAGATTTCTGTGTTATTATTAGTTTCTTCTACTAGCATAGCAGTCTTTTGCCACACACATACACACACTTTTAAAATAAGCTCACAACTTATGAAACTTGCAAATCGCACGTGCTATCAAAGCTCAAACATTCCTTAATTTCCTCATTCTGAAGCAATGAACAGGATCCAACTATAACATATAGCATATTTTTAATCAAAAAAGCAGTATTTTTACATAAGCGGAACAAAAAATTTAGTAATATTTGCCATTTACAGTTTTGTCAAAAATACACTAGGCTACTAAAGCAATTAACCCCAATCTAAATCAGTTCCATTTGAAATTACAAAATCTCAGTCTAGGTTTGTCAGCAACCAACCTACTGAAATATATAAAAAGTCACAAAATTAAGCATGAATAATTTCTACAATATGAAACCATGATCTCATCAGACTAAAGCTGTCATTTTGTATTTTATGATGAAACACCTGGCACATGAATAACACAAAGATCTTACTGAACAGTAGGTCTCCCCAGTTCAGCTCATTTAGCAGACAGGCGTCAAAAACAATTACTAAATTCCCTCAGAGGCAGTAAGTGAAATTCTTGAAAGTAGCTTATGACATTTCCTAAAGTTTTTCAAAAGGTGGAAATAATCAAATAAGACATCAAACAGATTTTAATTGCTGTAGTTGAGAAAGTCAACATTTTCAATGGAAGTTGTGCTATCCCTTGTCCAAGTTTCCCCCATCCTGTATCTCAGAAAATATGTGTTTGTACACACAAAAAATAAGGTAAACCAGCCTGGTTATTCTCAGTCTTTTCATGTGTGGCAAAAATAAGAGGACATATGTGATTCTAAAGCACCATCCTTACACTCCACCACCTCCAGCTGCAAGAGACTTCAGGCTGTAATGTGTAAATCATTACTACATGCTCTAATAGTACTTTCTATTTAATCAGGAGAGAAAAAAAATCCCCTCTAGAATTACAATAAATAACTACAGTTTTGTTTTAAATGAAATGATGTAGTTTATATCTGACCTGGGTTTCGGTCTTTTCCTAGTGGGAAATATAAATTCAGCATTTGGATACATAATCCTACAGATCTCAGAAGAAGCCGATTCCACCGCGAACACTTCACATGATTTATAGCTCTCCTCCGGATTCAGATGACAAGTCTCGGCGGAGCAGGTGCAACGGGGTGTTTTCTCCTTCCTTCAGACATCATTCCCTCGTATGTAAATTAATTAGCAAGTCTTCCTCACTTTCGCGTAAGCGGGGAAGATGAAGCTAATGGAACATCAGCATTTGGTTTCTCACGAGGAGCGGGTGACCCGGCGGAGGGAGGGAAGGAGGGAGGGATGCAGGGAGGGGGCTCGCTGTTGTTACTGCTGGAGCCACAGCGATTTCGACAGCGTCAGCGGCGATAAAGTGAGTCTGGCTTCCGCGCACTTATGCCAAGAGAGCGATTTTTAAACTACGGACAGGATTTGGGGGAACCTCGGGGACGCGAAGCGAACACACCCCGCACACCTCCCGCGGCAGCCCGAGCCTTCCTGTCCCCCCTACCGGCAAGTTGCCGCTGCCCTGCCCGCCTGCCCTGCCCCTTCCCGGGCTGCCGGGGGACGGGCAGCGCGTCCCGACTGCCATTACCTCCTCCGGAGCCATGGAGAGCGCCGCGGCCGCGGCTCGCCCGGCGCGGAGCGGGGCGGAGGGGCCGGCGCTCCCCGCGCTCCCTCACCCGCCGCGCCGCGAGCCACTGGCACAGCCCGCCCCACATAAATGCATTAACAGCAGCCACATCATGATTAATTCATCAGTGCCAGTGACCAGGGGAGGAGGCAGGCGCGGGGGCTGGGGGGCGGCAGGGCGCACGGGACGGTCCCTTCTCCCGGAGTTCGCCCCGGCTCAGGGCTCCGCCGGCGCGGAGGGAGGGGTGGGTGCCGCGCCCGGCTCTCCGCGGGTGCCCGAGCGCTGCCCGGCCTGAGGGAGGGCGGGGTCCCCGGACAGCTCCCCGGGTGGCAGCCCGCCGGGAGCCGGGCGGGAAGAGCGAGGGAACCGTGGGAAGTTGGGGAGGCTCCGCGCCACGGAGCGGGCAGCAGCCACCGCTCAGCTGGACGCGGAGCATCCTCAGCTCCACGGGAGCTGCAGCCCCTCCTTGTCTCCCGGCTGCCAGCGGCCCGCCGGGTGCCTTGGCGCTGGAGCAGGGCCCGGGGCCCCGAGCTGCCGGCACGGAGGGGCCAGCCGGGCAGCACAAGCATCCCGGGCATCCGTGCGGCAGTGATCACAGGACTAAACTCGTTTGCACAAATGCGGCCAAACCCCTCCTCAGCCTCGGTGAAAACAACTGCTCGGCCACGCGCCAGTTGCTGGAGCCAGGTTTTTCCATGCAACACATCACCGGTGTCCATGTGAGCTTGCATTGGTCTGCTGAGGCAGCAACACCGGCTCCTTCCCCAGCGCTCCGGCACAGAGCTTTGCTGCCCGTCTTCTGAGGGCAGCGCCGATTTCTTCAAACACCATTTGTTAAACTAGCAGTACGCCGCACTTTTGAGTTTCTTCACTGAAGTGGCACAAGACCACTGTGATTTTAAGGGTTTTATAACAGCTGTTAAATGCAGGAAACCCTTTGCATTTCTCTGCCTTCATTTTCCACTCCAAAGACAGGTAGAAGTCATCTAAGTCCACCGTCCCCCTCCAATGTTTAATACAAGATGCACTTTACAACACCAAGCAAGATGTCATCTTACCTTCTTAGTCAGGTGGGTCCCTAGTCAGGTGATGAAATTTGCATAGAATAGATGATTTATCACTTATCACTGCCTCACTTCATCTGTAAGCCCAGCTTTACCTACCTATAGTCATACTGCAAAGGAATGTATTTGAATAGGATATTATCACGGTTTAACAATTCCTTACTGGTCATGTGCCAGGAGCAAAAGTCTCTTCTTGTGGATTTTAGATTAGCAAAGAATCTTCAAGCTGACACAGCTATTTATAGAGATTTCCAAGTACCAGACAGAGTTCATAAGCTTTACATAGAAAGATCTCCAAATTGTCACAAGCCCTGAGATAGGTAATCATAGGCAGAGGTTTAAAGCTGTGTAAGGAGGAAGAAGAAAATAAATGAAAAAGTAGAGCAGTTTTGTGGAAAATATTCATTTACATGACATGTTAATTTTCCTTTTTTTGTTATGCTGTAGATTTGTGTTGCTCATACACAAAAGAGTAATTAACTCCTCAGTTAAGGCTGTGTTGTGGTTTGCACTTATAGCAGGAGTAAAAATCTCTAGGTTCAATACTTGAATGCTGCATTTAGACTACACAGCACAATAGCACATAATAATCACAACTGAATTTTCTTCTAAGAAGAAATAATACTTACTTGCCTTCTACAGAAAAAATCTTAATTGTCCTCTTTTTCCAGGTTTTCCCATTTTCATCTGTGAATTCTGAACGTTCCTGTGAATATTAGAAGCCATTTGTACTGTAGGAAAAGAACACAAATAAAGCTGATTTTGAACTTTTAAAATTAAGCATAAATAGAGTAACACAGACTTTATCCACCATATTACTTCATTGCATTGGTGCTGGTGTTCCAAGATAATTGCATAATGGCAGATTGAATGGTTCTACCTACTTTTTTGAAAAAAAAAAAAAAAAAAAGATTTTGTCAGAATCAAAAGTTTCCTGTAAAAACGGATGAAACAATAAACATCTGAAAAAAAATTAAAAATGGAACTTGGTTAAAACCTCCAAATCACCAATCCACAACTCTGCTTTTTAGCAGACATTACCTAACATCTTCTGCAATCCAGTACTTCATCTTAAAATCAGTTCATTTCACTCCTCCTAGTGAAGGCAGTGCCTGAACATCCACTGGTTCCCCTGATTAGAAATTGTCCCATTTGTTTCCCTCTCCAGAACATTCTAAGTATTATTCTCTTCTGTTCATCTATTGCTATATTTATATACAACACTCACATTTTTCTTCAGTTGAAACAGATCCTCTTTCAATTTCTTTCCCTAAATCAAGTTCTGGATTTTCCTGATGATGCCTATGACCTATTACAATTTTAATTAGTAATTTTTAAACTCTGACAGATGGACATGACATTCCAGTAAACTCTTACTAGTAATGCCCACAACGGTTGCTTCACCCCCACTTAAGCACTGATAAAGGTGGGCTTTGCCTCAATTTCTTTCTTGAATTTCTTCTCTAGATAGCTTTCAGTTTCTCCTGTGCTCAACAAGTCCTTCTCATGCCATACAAATTTTGACTCTCAAATTACCAAGTTTTTATTGGGCTCTGGTGCTTAATCTTGAAATTTTTTATCCTATAATACAGTGCCATTTCTTGGCTCCAGTATTTTGTATGTATTATTGACAAGCTAAAACCAACAGCAAATTATGCATTTTCTTAGTTTCTAAGATTATTAATTAATTTATTAAGGGATACAGAAATAAGAACCGAGTCTTAACAAATCTAGCAAATTCCATTTATGCATTGATCTCTTTTCAGCATAATCTCTCTGCCTTCAAAGTACCTTTTGAAGTGGGTACTTACCCACTTCACAATTTTTGTACAGGTTTTCTTGTCTCCCATTTCAGTAGTTGCCCACACACAGATGACTGTTTCCAGGTTAAACTCTGGAGAAAGCAAAGGTGTTAAATGAGACAGTGTCAACTGTTACAGAGTTTGGGATAAAGACACAGTATAATTAAAAACAAAGGAGAAAACCACTCATGAGTAGCCTGGTAAAAGTTGTCTATCTGCTGTGCCACATTCCTAACTTAAAAATAGCCTAGTACTACAATTCAAAGAAAAATCACCATGGCTAGAGAGGGGGGAGAGTGCACCTATTTTCTATGCTTTTCACTTATTACTTCTAATTTTGGAAATTCTCCAGGTTTCCTATTACAGAACTCACTTGCCTGGACAATTTTATTAATGTGTCATCTCAGTGAGAGTGGTAGAAATATGTAGCTATCAAAGTATCCAAAAACTTCAAAGCCTGGATTTCTTATATTATTGCTATTTATTGAAGTAGAGATGTATGTTTCTACAAAATGAAATATAACCTTGATGATACCTTATTGGTATGAAAAGATAGATGCATAGTTCCACTACCACAACATTTGAAGTTATATGAACACAGATTCATTAAAAATATTTCAAGTAATATTTATTTTTATGTTGTGAATCAAATTTCAGTGCTGCCACATCTAGACATTTATTCTTGGTGTATCTCTGTCTAAGACTTGGCATGAAATCTCGATCACACAAAAATTAAATTCTTCTAGTTAATTCATCAGAGCTATGATTGCATTCACTGAATTTTCTCTGAGGGTTCACTACATTTGACATGAAATCCTAAATTACGGCAGCTTATACGAAATATAAGCATACATGTGTCTAGGTTTATTTCTAGAAAATAAATTATATTGAAGGAAGAATATTGCATGATAGATTCAATCCTGATATAGTAAAACTAAAAGCAAATGATAACAGTACATCTACATGAAATATCCCTGGCCTGAAGGCCATAGGACATTTTCTTGATTCAAGGCTTAATATTCAAAGCTTGGTCACAGTTATTCATCTGTTAGGGTTCATGAAGTTTGTCTGATTTATGATGAATTCAGGCTACTACATGGAAACTGTGGTTTCAGATGAATGATGATTTTTTTTTCAGTCTGAGGCACAGACTAAAACTCAAGGCATAAAGAGTGTCTTTTGCCTTGATTTTCAACTAATTTTCAGTGAATTAAATATCTGACAAATAAGGGGGCAGGTCTATCTTTTGGTATTCAAAGCACTAATGTTAATTAAGAGCGAGTTTGACTCAGCTTTCCTTATTCTCCAAAGAACCTTTCTTCTCAGCTGTATAAAAGTCAGATTATCTAGAAAAAAAAATGTGGATTTTAATCTCTATAAAACTTATGGGAACTATATAATATAAAAGCTTAAGGCTTGACATAGGCAACTTCTGTTACTCAAAACAGTTAACAACTCTGAAATGTTCCAGAGAAGAGCATCTTCCCTCATGTTTTTCTGGTCATTGAGGATTGTAATTTCTGACATCTTAATTTTCATGAAATGACTTTTTCTTACTGACATCAGAAAAACTGTTAGACATCCTTATTAATGGTAAAGGAATAGACACAAAATACTGATAGGACATCAATGATGTTGAAAGATGACTGACTTATTTTCTGGAAGAGGGGCAATTCTGTCATTCCTGAAGGGTTACTGAGGCATTCCAAACAAGTGTAGATAATTTTTGAAATTGAAACATTTTTGCCATATACATTATTTCTGATTTTTAAAATTGCCCTCAGTTTTAAATACTCTCACTCATATGTCAATTATGTTACCTTAAATTGTGTCACCAGAGGCAGTGAACTGAAGAAAGAGAGAAAATGGGAAGGGTGACTGAAAAATCACAGCAAGAAATAAGATGATCCAAAAAACCATTACTCCAAATCGCTAGTCCAGCTGAGCTGTACCTTCTGCAGACTCAGAGCAGAATATAACTAAGGTGCAATTTCTATTGTAGTTCTCTCACCCTGAAAAAAGTCCAAAATGATCTATTCAAAGCTAGGGCAAGTTGCAGACAAGGCTGGTGTCTGCAGTATA